AGAAGTGAGATGGGGAAAAAAGAAGGAAAGTAAGAAAGCCTCAACTTCATTTGCACTCCTAACACATAATTCCAAGTTCTGCTCATCATGAGATAACTTCAAGCTTTGGACTTGAGCCCACACCTGGTATTCGAAATCTTGAATCTCCCTAGCATCCCTGCTGTCAATTATACAAAGCTCTTGTCATCACGTATCATATCCACCAATAATTACCTAGCTCCTCCAAGGTGAAACAGAGATGAGGGGTTTACAGTCATGACACCAGTGAATACTCTACCTTGAATCTGTTGAGCCCACGTCTATATACATGTCTGAAGTAATTTAAGCTCTGCTCCACTTTCCTTTACCTCCTTGACCTAATAAAAGCAGCTAAAACATCACTCACTCATTTAAGCAATAACGAAACCATCAATGGCAGGAATTGCAAATGAACCTACGCCATTAATCATCAAAATCTAAGGTGGTTTCTATGGACCATACTAGAAAAGAGCATTGTTAGCAAAAGAATTTTGTATGCAAACACATATTCACTATCCTGTGTCCATTTCTTTGCTAAACCCGCAAACTGAAACTTTCTAAACTGTAGCGGGGAAAGAAGCAGGAGCAAGGCTAGAAGCAGCAGTTAAAGCACCAAATACAGAGTCAACAAAAACATGTTATTCTCAGTTTCGACTTCCATTGCCACATTTCAACCATATTCACACAAAAAATCACCAGATGAGCATTATGAAAAAGCATAAGAGCCTCACCTAGCATACACTTAGTCGTCCAACATTAGGCTAAGAACATGACTTAATCTAAAAGGTTAAACTATGCTACTGAACATTAGACTAAGAACATGTCTTCTACTAATTTCACTCCACCATATTACAATCCAAGATAAAACAAGGGCAATCACTTTTGAAGGAAAAGAAAACCACCTCAATTCATGTTCATGCTTCAGCTCTTCCATGAAAGGATCAATATTTATGGTCTTCCCGTTTTCTCTGTCCTTTGACCTCTCCTCCTCCCTCTGTCACATATATGAAACATGTAGAGACATACAGAAAACAAGGAATCAACATATAAATCTACATGTTTAAATAATAGAAGAAAAATATTTCATGCATCCATACTGTCAAATGAGCAGAAGAGCTGTGTCCCCTTGGAATACTCTATGTTTATGGAAGGACTCTTTCTTGCGTGTAATGGGCTCTTTAAGTGAATCAAAGCCTTCTCCGTCGTCACCCGAGCTCGTATACTACACATATTTTCTCCCCCGGCGCCGACATCGTAGTTATCTTCCCTCAATCCGTCTGTTTGTCTATTGCCATGGTCTCCGACAACTGCAACGCGGAATGGAATCTGCCGTTAAGAGAGCTCTTCCACCGTCCCGCCCCTAGAAAATGGTGGCGAATCAGTTCAGAAGGAAACCCTCCTTCCGCCATCAACAAACTCGGAGACGACCTCCTCGTCGAGATTATGATTTGCCTCCCGAATCCCAGCTTCAATCACCGTTTCGTTGCTCGCTACCAGAGCATGAACCTGAACAAATCGCCGTTTCAGTGAATCAAAGCCGAATCGGGGCGAGGGAAGTGTAGAGATTCGGAAGCCTACCTTCTTCAAGTGATTCATAATGCGATATGCATGAGCAATAGATCTCAGAAATCGTAGATCTGAAGCTCCGCGTGCTCAACGACAAGGCCACACCTTCGGCCGCCGGCAAAGTGGACCAGCTTCAAAGACCCAAATCGACCAAATTTCCCAGAAATATCAAACGATTAATGGAAAGAGAGAATGAAACTGTGCTCTTCTGTTTCAGTGGGATGGGAAGGGTTGCAAAGAAATGAAATTTTGTTTTGGCGGATAAAAACAAGGTTTCTGAAAAAACAAGAGGGAGAATTTTAATGTTTTGATTTTCTGACTCCCGTATTTTTTTCTAATTTCAAATTAGCGGGAAATTATAAGTAATTACTCTGCTACAATTTCTTTTCTATTTTGGTATCATAATTATTTCATAAATTATAATTAGCTTATGTTATTTAACGATAAATGACATCCCAAAAAACTATAGTAAATGGCGTAAACGACTAATTTTCTTATGGGTTTGTTGGTTGTTCGTTGTCAAGTTTGATCTTCAACTTCCATGTGCGTTGGTGATTTTGGATGATGGCGGTGGATGTTCACCGTGAATTAGGTTTAGGCGAATTGGGTTTATGACGACCAAATATAATGCAAAAGATGATTGTCGATCTATGTATTTTTCTGTCTGAACAGTCGGTAGGGTATCTTAAGCACTACATTTTACATTGTTAAAATAGATTCAAGTAGAGCTAGTGAGCTCATAATATTCGAGTTTGTGTTGAATTTTAGTAAACGATTCGAGGCCGAACTCTTGAGTATGAGCAAGGTAAAAACTCGACTTAGCTTGACTTGTTTACAACCTAATTACGATATAAGAAATATTCTTAGTTTGAATATTTAATGATTGCGGGGCACTTGGGTATAAAATTATAACAAATGAGAAATAATTGATAATATCAAACATATTTAATTTGATTCGTTGTTTGTTATGTGATCCATTATTCCTATTTATAGATGACCAAAATGAAAATATAAAATTCTTTGATTATGAGAAATTTGATATGTTTATATACACTCAGGGATGTTAATGAACCAAGCCGCTCATGAACGGCTCGGCATTTGAATCGAGAAAAACTCGTTCGATAATCGACTCGTCTTAACTGAGCCGGATTGCGAACAAGCTCGTTAACTAAACGAGCCGAACTCGAGCCATACCATGTTCCGCTCGAAGGCTAGCGAACAAGCTCGAATCATGCCTAATAAATAAACATATTTAAGTACCACATACTTCTTAAGCACAATAAACTATGATTTCATTATTCTTAAACTAATTTAAAACATGAGTATTTAAAGTACAATGGGTTAAGAATATGTAATGGGTTAAGAATAAATGAAGATACAGAAATTGGGATGCCATTCCCTGGTTGGAACAACAAGAATCCAACTGAATCCTATGTTTTCATGGTATCCTACTTTCTTGCTGTTGTGGTTGGAATTCTGACCATAGCCTTACGTGGCTTTCCAATGGAGAAGGAATATCAACCTAAATTGGATGAAGGTTATAGCCATTAGCCAAGTAAAAGAAGAGAGGTGGAGAAAGAGGAGATGTTGCTAGAAAAGTACCATATCGGTGGTTCCCGATAACTCCACTACTCCACTTACTATAAAAAATTTGGTGGTGGAAATTTCTTTGGGTAATATGGGCTCTAGTTGTTTGCTCTGGTTGAGGCCCGTGTTTGGCTTCACAAGGTTCAGTGCAATTTAAATGGGCTCTGACATGTGAGTTTTGGTTGCCAATTATTTGTCTGATCCGACGCAATTTAAATCATCACGAGAAAATCATGAACCAAGAACAAGAAGTTTGTGAAGCAAAACGAGAAGAAAGAGCGAGTCCTGGCTACCACAAGAGCAAGCGGCTCTCGTTGAAAAGAGCCATCCAGTTTTTTGGCGGATAAAAAAGGCGGTCTTCTAAAAGAGTGAGAAAGGAAATGTTGAAAATGTTAAATTTTGTTTCACGTTTGAATTTTGCCTCCACCAATTAGTTAGTTTGTAATAATAAATTTAGTGAGAAATGTATTGCAAATAATCTTTTTAACCACAAATAAAATTTATTATATTCATAAAGTTAAAATATTAATTAATGTCATATATAATATTTAGTGATATTTACAATTTATAATTATTTGAATGATTTTTTTTAAAAATATATAATTTTGCCCACAAACAAACCCACAAGTTCAGTTGTTTGATACAAATAACACATGTAATTAATCTGATTCAAATTCCTTTCAATTTTTGTATCATTAGTTCATAAATTATAATTAGCTTATGTTATTTAATCGTAAATGGTACCCAAAAAACTGTAGTAAATGGCGTCAACAATTAATTTTCTTATGAGTTTGTTGGTCATTAGTTGTCGAGTTTGATCTTCAACTTCCATGTATGCTGGAGATGTTGGATGATGGCGGTGGAGCCTCACCATGAACTAGGTTTGAAAGAATTGGGTTTACCCTTGCTTTCCTCATGGTACTCATATGTATGAATCATCATTAGAAACTTGAGAGGGAAGTCAGCTGTGAACAAGATTAATAAACTAGTTGAAAACATATGGAATTTGTGGTGAAAACCAAAAACTCAATGCATATTTAATCATGTTTCCTTATATTATATGAGTATTTATACATAATTGAACATGATTCGTCATTAGATTGAGTATAAATCGAGATACTTGGGTCATGATGAAGCGGCCCAAGTATGAATCATAAATTGCCGAATGAATAAATACCAAATATCATATAGGTTTGTCCACTCAAGTTGTTAACTATTGATAGTTTCATAAGCCATGCGTATAATAAGCCCATTCATGTAAAGTAATTCAACAAAATCACAATTAGTGGTACATACAACAAAATCACAATTAGTGAAGAAATTTTTTGATTTTCAATTACACTCTATAATTGTTTCATATTACAAAGGTGTACCTATGATACGATAAAAGCTAAACCTGTTAAGTGTTAATTTTTCAACATAATCTCCTTCCTCCATGCAAGCTTGTGAACATGGGTGAAGCCATCTAGTAAAGTTCGGGAGATATCCAATAGACAGGAAACATGGCGGAATGGTGAGGCACGCAGCCGGAGCTGAGAACCGGCGACAACGACGATGGAGCTGATTGGTGAGGCGCAGCTTAATTTGCTGGAAAAATAATTCTTTAAATATTATTTGGAATTTACGTCAATTAAACCAAAAGAGTTATGCTTTGTAGATGGTTTCCGACTAGGTGGGCGGTTCGATAGTCCATCCATTTTATATTTTCCTCCAGCCAAAACCCTGCACTTCTTGTTTACAACATTTTTTTACGAAACGACGTCTTTTTCGGGAGGCTTGACTCTTCTTCTTCCCCACTATCTCCCTCTGCCGTTTCTCTGTTTCGATTTTCAGCTCCGGCCGGCGACCACGACAAATCCGCTGAGAGAAGGGGGGGCAACTGCAATTACCCGATCTTCAACGTTGCATACGTCTTTCTCGTCGTCACCCATGAACTTGGAGGTGCGATTGACGTATCGATTGTAGACCTTGTTGTGGAAGAGTTTGTCGACAGCGACCACCACCGATTGCTGCATCTTGGAAACGGCGATATTCATTCTTTCCACACAAGTAATTTTCATAGGCCTTCACCGTCAACTGATTTTGATTCCTCGCGAAAGGTTAGCAGTCCTCTGCCATCTTAAAAGTAGATGATGAGCTGAAGTCGATGCAGGCCGGAAACAGGGACGAAGATGCGCTGGAGTTGATGACCGGTCTACAACCGATGATGACCTCGAGTCTTGGGTTGGACGAGGGGAGCAAGCACAACTCTGCATAATCAGAAAACCTAAAACATGAATTTTACGGATTAAATTTATATCGCCTTTGGGGTTTAGGTTTGATTGTTGTTTGGTTTTGATGATGATGTGGTTAGCTATTGCGGAAGTTATGATGAACAGATGATGACGATGGAGGTTCAATTGGAATGTGAGATGCTGACGATCCATTAATTGGAGCAAATTTTAATTGACCTCTTTTTTTATCAATTATAGATTTTTGGGTGTTCAATTAAAAAAGTTTACGAAATACTGTACCATACGCGAAAACATAACGGTAATTTTTGTGGGGGACTTTATAGCAGGTATAATTATTTAAAGGGTGCAAGTGGTAATTATAATTATTAATTTTAACAAAATTTATAATGACCGTTAGATTAAATCAACGTTGCAAAGATCTGGAGCATGCTATGCGTCTGGACCATACGAGTCGAATCCATATATTTTTATATATATATATATATATATATATATATATATATATAACCATATATAGCAAATGCTAGCGTACGTGCGGGCGTACACTAACCTACCGTACGTCCCATTGAGTTTTGCTATTTAGACAAAGAATTAATCGGAGTTTGGGACATGATACTATACCCTAACCCGTAATGGGTGAATCTCAGTCCCCAATTCACTAACCCAAATCATGAGATTCGTTTAATCTTAAAAATGAAAATCAACGATTCTGATTCGTCGAAATTTTCATTAGTTTTTATTTTAAGATTAAACGAACCTCATGGTTTGGATTAGAAAATTAGGGACTGGGGTTCACCCATTAGAGGTTAGGGTATAGTATCATGCCCCAAACTCAGATTAATTCATGATCTATATAGCAAAACTCAATGGGGCATACGCTAGGTTAGCGTACGCCCGGGCGTACTCTAGCCTGAACCATATATGATATATATATATATATATATATATATATATATATATATTTTAATATATATGGTGGCTACTTCGGTGCACTCACTTTTTTGGGTGCGTTCAGTGCACCCAACTCTAAAAGTGGCTACAATACATCGAATTTTGAATTTTTATTGATAGCATTAGTATAATATGATGATATAACATAAAATCACAACTAATCAAGCCATTACTCTAACCCCTTAACGTTCAATTATGAATCCCAAACCAAAATCCCAAATTGTAAACATAAACCCTAACCCTAAATCCGTAAATCCTAAATCCTTGAAATTAATGGGTCGTTTGGATGAGGAATTGTAACGGATCAATTTGACACAATTGTCTCGTTTGCCAGCAAAAAATTTGGATAGATCAATCTGCCTGAGGAATTTTGAATTGATCCGTTTTGAGTCAATTTCAATTACCTGAGGTGGGGGTAGGTAATTCGAATTGACTCGTGTTAATTGCCTCGTTTATAAAACGAGACAATTGACTCATTTCTAAATTGATCCATCCAAACGACCCCTGAAGTAAATCTTGAATGAGTTTTTTTTGCAAATCTATGTGTTTATTGTTCATAATATCATAAGCGACGATTGATACCGTTTTGACATGAATCGCATGCTCGGAATGACGATTATGAGGCGAGTGCATTGAGTGCACCCAAAAAAGTGGGTGCACCGAATACACCGCTATATATATATGGGAGTTCTACGGTACCCAGGGTGCAATCCGGGATACCGCATACCTTGATTAAGAAAACTCTATCCAGAACTTAAATTGACTGATCTTTCGGACATGATACTATACTCTAACCATTAAAGATTAAAATCTAAGTCTTAATTCTCAAAATCTTATACTCCAAGATCGATTTAATTAGAAAAAATAATCTACGGTTATGATTTGTGCAAATATAGGCAAAAAAATCAATAAGTTTATGATTTAGATAATTAGGACCTAGGGTTCACTCATTAAAGGTTAGGCTATAGTATCATGCCCAAAAATCCTGTTAATTCGATGTCTATATAGCGTTTTTATACTCAAGGTATATGGTAGCTCGGATTTCACCTGGAGTACTATAGAAGGCACCATATATGTATATTCATATGGACATGTAGGCTCTTCTTATTATCTTCTATCAAACATAATTACTAGGGTGGGAAACGGTCCAATCAGTTTTAACTGGACTAGGTTAACTCAATTTTAGATTCGTGTTTTTGGAAAAAATAGAAATAATAAACCAAACCATTTCTTAAACGGGTTTAATTGGAATATGAGCGAATGGTTCTAGCTAGTTGGGTCAGATTTAAACCTAAGAACAAGCATGGTTCTAGTTATGTGAGGAAGACACAAGAGTTGTTGAATCAAATTTTTAGGTGGTTTGGGCTTGGGATAGGGTAAGCACTGTAGGTGATCTTATAGCCTTCTCTACATTCGAAATCAATCCGTTTTCTCTGTAGAAACAACTTCAATTTGAGCCGGATCGATTTATATTTGTTTATTATATTCTATATTTATTCTTCTTCTCTATATTTGTTTATTATTTTTACTAACTTATCTGTTTTATTGACAATTTTTATTAGTCATTTCAGTATTATTATGTTTAGAATATTTTTTAATTTTTATATTAGATAAAAACTTGTTGAAATATAGTTTTGAATGTTTTTAAAAGTTTTGTGTACCAAAAATTAATTATAATTTTGGGTTGGATAGAAAACTAGACGGATGCACATTTTGGTGACTTTAATGGTACTCGACGCCCTATTCAAACTTAAGTGGTATGTTTGCCTCAATTCTCAAACTTTAGTGGTACCCGATGTATTTTACTCTTGAAATTGCAATGGTTGGTGGGTGTTCTAGAGCTAGAAAATTAATCCATTGAAACCGAGAATCTAGAGGAAACTGAAACTTCATTCAAAATACATTAACAAGAAAGAAAAAATAAAGATGTTTGAAAGTGTGGTCACCAAGATTACTAAAAAGTTTCGTATTTGCCACTAAAAATATTTTATTCAATTCGTGGTCACTATAATAGTTCAGTAATTCAAGATGGTCACTGCCAGTTAATCTCCGTCAACCTTCGTTAACGTTGTCAGTTTTTTGCTGGCCTGTCTAACAAAGACGTTGAATTGGCCAAATTTAACTCAAGAAAATTAGACCCGATCCGCCACATCATGAAAATCTTCCACATCTTATAAATCTCAACCAATGAACTTACCCTAACGTATTAACTCGCCCGTCCTAAAAAAAAAGTCCATTACGGCAAAGAATATGACAACTACCAATTCCTCTACCACTCTGTAAAGAGTCTGACGACTATCTCCAGCTACAATGCTCAAGTCTCCACAAAAGCCCACCCATTGTCCTGATTACCACCTTTGACAAGAACCCAAAATCCTCAGTCCTCTGTTTTTATTTCCCCCTCTTGTTGGTGTATCCGATTTGGTGGTTCATTTGTTTCTTGGAGGTGTAGCAAACATGGTCGTATTTTGTGAAAGGGAAATGAACGCGTGAAAAGGAAATGGAAGAGATCGATTAGGGATTTTGACCAAGATCACTCAACGAAGAACCAAACTTAATCAAAACGAAACGTTTTAAATTCGTCTGAGGTGAGTCGGTTTCAGTTGGGCCGTTAGGAGAGAAGCCGATAGATCAGAATGACTCAATGCTGGGCTTGATTTCAAAATGAGCCCGTTCCGTAACACAGAGAAGGTAGAAGGTGTTCTTCTTCTTCACTGAGCCAATATGATCAGAAACAGAGAAAGGTCGAACAGAGGAAGCAGAAAGCGATCAAGAGATGGAAGTGCAGAAAGTAAATGGCACAATGGAGTTTTAACGAGGTTCGCCACATGGCTACTCCTCATCCCGGAATAGTAGACACTATTCCGAGAGACAGTTTTGATTTTCTTGACTCTATAACGAAAAGTAGAAAGACCCAAATACAGACTCGAATGTGAAAATCAAAAGCTGAAGAAAAGAGAACCGAATTCGCACAGGAATTCACTACACCCCTTGATCGTCTGAACCTATTCCTCAGTACTGATCAAGGCCACTGTCAATTTCCCAACCCTTTGCCCTATTCCACAAAGAATCCCAGAACCAGTACTGCGAGTAGTCTTCGAGCTTCCTTTAAATAGTCCTTCATGAATGTAGCCGTTGTGCTTGAATCATTCCAGTCTGGGAAAGTTTCCATTGAATAGCTCCCCCTTGATTTGGGCATAATTTCCTTGATTCTTACCTTTTGTTGAGTAAGCGATCTCTGACTTGATTTGATTGAAATCTTTCAATCCAACAATCTCCTCCTAAGTTAGAGATTGCTGAATGTCCGATTGATCCCTGCAAAAACATACATACCTTTCCAAAAATATAGCAATGGCGAGCAACCAAGCACACAACTCAGAAAGATCCAAAAAGTCTAAAACATCAGCTGGTAAACACACGTCCAGCAAACCAATCCAGTCAAACAAAGCAAGGAAGGACTAAACAAGTTTAGTGTCCTGACAGAACACCAGTTCTAACAAAGCACTCGTCAATCCAAGCCGAAGAAGGTCTAGCAAAACAGAGAGAATTATTCAGAATTGTAGGTATTCCTGAGATCACCCAAGACAGCTGCCAAGGGAGATCCAGAGGCAACATCATCCGAACCATCCGAGTCATCATTGTCAGAATCGTCACTGCTGATCCAGTGAGCTATAATTCCAGATTCATCTCCTTCAGACTCTTCTCCTTCAGCACGAACTTCCTCCTCGTCTTTAGAATTAACATCAAGATCTTCCACTGGTCTTTCGTCGTCAGAGTCGGAGTCATTATCAGTATCGTCCTCCCCCTCAACGGCAATTGCAATCTCATCCAGAATATCATCAGCAGTAAGATAGACGTTGGGGGTAACTATGCGAAAGGGATCGAGAGAAATCTCAAGACGAATGATGAGACGAGTAATCACCGGACCAAAAGGTAGATGACCGAGGTACTCAAACAGTTGAAATGGATATAGATGTCCAAACAGAAGATGACAGTAATCGAGTGGAACGTTGTGAACAACATGAGTGAGAACCCAAAGGTCCAGAGGGGTGAGTCGATCAAGAAGGACAATACGAGGCAAAAAGCGACGAGTCAACAGGAAGTGAAACGTCCGAAGGGCAAGAAGCAGAAAAGCAGCAAGTAAAGTGAGATATGCATCTGGCTCATGTCCAGTGAGCAGAACAAACTCATGAACGATGTCAAAATTGAAGCGATGAAATTCAGAAACATTAGCCAGAATTTCTCCATACCTAGGGATATTCAGGAGACGTCTAAGATCCTCAAGAGGGATAGTGACGAGGTTCCCATAGATCAGGGTGGTGAAGGTGCGAGTGTGAAGCCCAAAGGACCGAAAGTTGGAGTAAAACAGACGCACACCTTCAGCAAAAATATGCTCAGGGGTGTCGATTATCAGGAAGTCCCACCCCAGATTACGAACATATTGAGTAACATCAAGACCGTACTCAATGAGATCAGCAAAAGGGACATGATAAGTGGGAACTAGAGGACGGTGATCAAATGAGATGGAGTGACGATGAGAGTTGGCAGGAATAGGATCGTTAAAGAGAGTACCTGTGAAGGTTTTCGAGAACCCAAGCACCATAGTTACTGACGAGACAGAACCCTATAGACTTTGAAGAGGTGATGAGAAAAAAAAAACGACACAACTGACTTAAATAGTAAACTAGGTACGCTTAACAGGAAGAAATAAAAGCAGCAAGTCACACAAAACAAGGAAGGAAAATAAATACAGAAGAACAAGGAAATAAAACAGAGCAAGATGAGAAATCAGGAGAGATCTTCCAGATTGTAGGAAATAAACTCGTGAAAAGGAAATGGAAGAGATCGATTAGGGATTTTGACCAAGCTCACTCAACGAAGAACCAAACTCAATCAAAACGAAACGTTTTAAATTCGTCTGAGGTGAGTCGGTTCCAATTGGGCCGTTAGGAGAGAAGCCCACAGATCAGAATGACTCAATGCTGGGCTTGATTTCAAAACGAGCCTGTTCCTTAACACAGAGAAGATAGAAGGTGTTCTTCTTCTTCACTGAGCCAATATGATCGGAAACAGAGAAAGGTCGAACAGAGGAAGCAGAAAGCGATCAAGAGATGGAAGTGCAGAAAGTAAATGGCACATCGGAGTTTTAACGAGGTTCGCCACAGGGCTACTCCTCGTCCCGGAATAGTAGACACTATTCCGAGAGACACTTTTGATTTTCTTGGCTCTATAATGAAAAGTAGAAAGACCCAAATACAGCCTCGAATGTGAAAATCAAAAGCTGAAGAAAAGAGAACCGAATTCGCACAGGAATTCACAACACCCCTTGATCGTCTGAACCTATTCCTCAGTACTGATCAAGGCCACTGTCAATTCCCCAACCCTTTGCCCTATTCCACAAAGAATCCCAGAACCAGTACTGCGAGTAGTATTCGAGCTTCCTTTAAATAGTCTTTCAGGAATGTAGCCGTTGTGCTTGAATCATTCCAGTCTGGGAAAGTTTCCATTGAACAGCTCCCCCTTGATTTCGGCATAATTTCCTTGATTCTTACCTTTTGTTGAGTAAGCGATCTCTGACTTGATTTTATTGAAATCTTTCAATCCAACATATTTCAAGTCATTTACGGAAGTTGAGTACACATCAATGTATGAGACGAGCTCAGAAATAGGTTGGCTTCAACGTTTAATTTGTTTTGGAAACTTGGTGTTACTTGTCGGCTTTCTATGCGAATATTTGGAGATAATATCTACCAGTGGTATACATATAATATTGTTTTGCATGATCGTACAAAACATATAGGAGTCCATGTGTGTTATATCGGTCAATTGGTGATAGTAGGAAGGATACAACTCGGTTATTTATTAACTGAAGATCACACGACTGACATCTCGACTAAGAGAGTGGCTTTTAGTCGACATTGGTACTTAGTTTCCAAATTGTTTTTGGTGTGAGAGAGGGCGTTAATTATAAGTATCATTATATAATTGTGTGGTTAGTGTTTGTATATATATGACAAAGACTGGCGTATGCATAGCATACTCTATACCTGCGTTCACACCTATTATTTGTACATAGGTTTGTATGATGTAAGGGAAGAACCAACGAAATAAAAAAAATAAAAATCTAAAACTTGCGAAGCAGATTATCTTCATGGACTAGACTCGCTGACAATACCAGGTTGAAAAATCCAGTTACTTAATTTACTCGATCAATCTGTTAAATTGACAAATACCACATTGTTGCAAAGAAGATTCGACCCTCCAATATATCACCGACTTGTTCCCACAAAAGGTACGAAAGCTTCAAAATTTGGCCTTCATAATTTCCATTACTGTGTTTGAGGGGAAGTGTTGAGGTTCATGCACACATGTTGATGATGCTCATCTCCTTATTTTTGTAATAAGAAACGGAAGTGAAAGTGAGTGTACATATCAGGCCAATATCTCAATGGTTTAAAATTACTCTGATACCATAATTCCAATAGAACTTACCATATATACATACACGTACACATATTTTATTGATCCCACACGGCACACGGAAAAGCGACAAGTTACAGGCTTACAGCTCCTTATGACGAAGAGCTGGACGAGTCGAAATAAGTGAAACGTCTCCTCTTGTTCGAAAGTGTAGTTCTCGGCATATATTCTGCCAATGTATTGCCTTTCTCCAGGACCGAACTCAATGCCTGGTGAATACAACTTGCAAAGTCTTGCCGTGCCTTGTCACCATTAATATTGGCATCCTCAATAACAGCACCTTCACTTTCGCCTTTGCTGAGTACGAACACATACTTCAGACGGCCTCCAAGGGTCGATATCTCCACATCCACAAGCTTCAACTGAAGTGAATCGATGGCCTGCCTTATATCCGTCATAAGCTCAGGGCGACACTCACAGGACAGGGATGCCTTGAAAGTTAGGGCAGCCCTGTTCCCTGCTGGATATGGTTCGACTTTCACTTCATCGTCGTCCATGGGAATGAGGAGACCTTTGCTGGCTTCCATGGCGTTCTGCTTCAGCATCTTCACTTGGTTTATCACTTCAGCAAGCAACGTGGCTTTGTCCATCTGCACAACTTGGTAGAATGATTATCACTTTTATTTCCTTTAAAAATCCAAGGCAGCTACAAAAGTAGGCTGGTCAAATAGGGGAAATGAAAGGAGCTCATTCAGCTTTTGTCATGATATGGAGTGAACCAGTTGCGGAAACAAGCTCCAAACGTTGACAAAAGGGCCAAAATGATAATATATTTTTTCATCAGCTGGCAGTGTTAGGCGGGAGACAGACAACAACACGTAGGACAATGAGCTAACCACAATGATTGCGCAAGCAATCTTGTTTCGTGACTAAGCTCGTAATTCACTGGACTTGCCATATTATAACCCAATGCTTTCATAGTCAATGTTCAGCCGTGTTAAACAATTGATGGGAGGCAGTATGGGGACGAATCCCCTGCTAAACTGTGAGCCGACGTTGGGGGCACTTCCAGACGATCCGAAAACGACATTTACCTGTTATGGAAGTTTCTGTGATCATATGTCAATTATGTTTAAGGGTTGTGTATCTCTCACTCTCACTACCATAGCAGAATATTAAGCATACATAACCCTTTCGTTAACTTGAGAAGCTCCAGCTGTGTTTAATTTCCTAAAGAACCAGCAACTCTAGATGGCTTTGTTTCTTATTAAACAAGAATAAAAGGAGTGAGTTACATAAATGTGCTTAAACTTTTTTGGTCAAAAAAAAAATAATGGTCAGTGACTTTTTATATGTCAGAAAAGCTATGACTGAAGTTGAACTAATAACATAGAAGTTTAACTTGGCCAAAACAAACAATACGAAATTGGGTCTTACAGAGCTTTTGATTATCTATGCGTAAGAATTAAATTGGTTTCTAGTTATTTTGGGTTTAGTTTGAATAGAATATTAGAGGGATGTATCATCTATCGTAGCTTATTAGGGTCTAAGGTAATTACCATTGTTAATTTGGTTGGGCTGACATCCTACTATAGACATTTTAAATCTGAAAAACTAATACAAATTGTTAAGGAGACTACGATTTGTTATTTTAAATCTCAATGTCAATTTTGTTAAGATCCGCTATTAGAATGTCGCTAAATGATCCCAAAGTTTAATTACTATTCATGGAATTAGTCAAAGGGTAAAGCAACATCCAAAGAGATCTTATGGCATCTCTTCCACCAAGAAGCCAATGTTGTGCTCCATAACAAATTAACAATGGTAGGTTTTTACTCCAGGCTTTCCTGAGCAGAACTTTCACATTTTTCAAATTGGAGCATGCAGTCCTTCATCTCTAATCTTCTTAAGCTAACTTACCAAGTTATCTAAGTAGCATCCAACAGGAATAGTCTATTATAATTCACAGGTTATAGCATCAAAGAGCTATCAAATATTGACCAGCAGATAACAGCTTTTCTTCTATCAGGTAATGATCACTGCTACTTTTGTTTCCAGTTTGTTAACTGCTACTCGCATTATTAACTTTTCATGTCGCTCCTAAAAGGGGAGTTCAGTTCAAGGTTCTCCTCTCACCCGGATCATATGGACTAATTAATGCAAACAATATGATATCAAATTTTCAATCCTCCCGTTGACAAAGTTACACCAAGTTCTCTCAGCGGCAAATCGTCGAACACCTGAGGTAGAAAGACATACACCAACACTCTAGCAGGCAAGTTAAATTACCTTGTCAGTGCAGGGAACGAGACCACGGAGAGTGGCGAGATGGGCATTGATCCTCTCTCTTCTTCTCCTCTCTGCTTCACTGTGACTCTTCAAAGCCGCCAGAGCCTTCGCCTCCGTAATCTCCTTCTTTCCGACCCTCGTCGTCGGGGCCTTTACCAGCTCCCCCTTTTCATTGTCCAGCACCAACGCTTGCGGAACAACCGCCATCGACCCACCTCGAGAAACCTCATCGAAACCATTGAAAACAGAGACAAAAGGATCCAAGGCGTCGAAATGGCCGAACCCAAATGAAGAAGAGTTTGGGAAATGAGGAACCATTTGATTCGATTGTAAACCCAGAATAGAAATTAAACAAAAAAAAAGAAAGGCTCAAACTTTGGTAGAGTTTGAATGAACTGGAAGGAAGGGGGAAAAGAGAAAACAGAGCTTTGAATATAAAATCTACGAGCCGAAAGTGGAGGAGAGAAGACCAGGTGGGCGAGTGGTGGGGGCGAACCAGAAAGAAAGTTTTTGGAGTGGGAAATTCTGTTGCTTGACGGCTTTGTTAGTGAAGCTGCTGCTTGTGTTTGTGATCATGACGTCCATATTGCAGCAAACACCAAAACAGAGCTTTTGTTCTTCTGGGTTTGTCAGCGGGAGAGAAAGGAGTCCTTCAATGAAACGAAAACATCCACATTTTCTTCTTCATGAGCTTGGGCGATACCATTTTACTCCCTTGGGTTTTTGCTTCCTACTTCGACGACAGTACTACTCAAAAGATTCGATCTTTTTTGCCCTCTCAATCTGGAGTATTCGATGGAAATTTGCACGAGGAAGCAGAGGAAACTCAACTAAGGGGGGAAAAGCTATTCTGCTGAATGGATGCAATGTGCCAAATGTCAACTTGGTATAAGTAGGGCTCAGCTTTGTGAATTTCAAGTTTTCAACTCATTATTTATTGACAAATCATTTAACAGAAAATGTAGTTTTATAGAATGAAAGAGCCGTCGGAAGTAATTTATTGCTTCTCAGGCCATTTCTGAAGCGGGTTGACTTCCAGCGAATAAACAAAGACACGGCACATACGGGCCGGCGTCTTGTGGTGTGGGTTCTGTCTTCCATTAGTGCATTACAATATTATTATTTTATACATTATGAGAGTAAGAGTCAATGTGGCGGAGCTAAGCCTAAACTCTGTGGATCACCCATCGCATTCTGAAGTCACTATGCAGTAGCTCCAGTTTGTTGGGGCCGTTGAAAATTATTAGGGTTGTTGGACTTTTTGGAATCTGATATGAGAGACTTAACCGTTGTTACTAGGGCTGGAAGTTTGGTATCGGTATTTGGGATATACCGAATACCGTACCGAATTTGTCTATATTTGGTATCACCGAATACACGTATTATTTTATGGGATTGGGATTGGGATTGAATTTCAATTGTTATTCGGTATTAGGGATTACGGGATTGGGATCGGTATATACCGAAATACCGATCAATACCGAAATATAAGCTAGTGTGTATTTTATCCTCTCAACTAGACTCTCTCATTCACTACTACGCGACCCTCAACCACCAAAAGTGTCATTTAATTATAAATAGATCATTACATCACTATTTCACACTAATATTAGTCGTCTCTCAACGTCAAATTCGTCAAATTAAAGATTACCAATTACAAGAACTTGAGATGTTAGCTCTATGCAACTCAAGACTATTTGCTTAGTCTCTATGCCCTAAATTAAACAATAAAATCTAATTTATATATTTAATTATTAATTGCAAAGGTAATTAATTATGTATTCGATAATACCGATTGGGATACCGAGGTACCGATTGGGATACCGAAATTATTTAGGGATTGGGATTGGGATACCGAAATTATTTAGGGATTGGGATTGGGATTGATTTTAGGGTGTAATTCGGTATTCGGTATTTCGGTATTTGGTATTGGGATACCGATACCGTACCGATTTCCACCCCTAGTTGTTACCATACCTAGTACAGCTAGACCAGCGGAACCTCCAACCAAGAAACAAACCGGGGTAATTGAATTAATCCACTCAAAATCGAGCACACCCTCGTTGTGCGTCGCCTTATTGAGATCAAATTCTCCAATCCAACATCGTCTTGGAGAGCTGGTGCACGCAGTGGCCCTATTGGTTGTTCTGTTTGAATGGGTATCGTGAAGGTTGAAGCGGATTTCTGGAAGTTGGCACACATTACTCCTAGTGGAGGTGCATAGGTTTCCTTCTGGAATGACTGCTGGCTACCGGGAACGGTTGTGAGAGATGCTTATACTAGAGTTGCAGCCGCCTCCACGAACCAAGATGCTTGGATGTCCAACGTGATATCCTTTAATAATGAGAGTGTGGGGTGAGATTTGTCGTTATCTATTTCCTTGAAGAGAGGGGCTGAGCGTGAGAGAACTGATCTTATTAATAGATTATCTCTTCTACCTTATGGTTCAATTTCTGCAGGGCCTGCTAAGCTCATTTGGAGACCAAGTGTGCGGGGTGGTTTCACGGTGAAATCCATGTACACCGCCCTCAACAAAGCGAAATATGCCGGTGTTGATGATTTCCTGGGCGTGGTGTTGTAGCCTCCCTTTGTTCCGATGAAAGTGAAGGCGTTCATCTGGTTGATTGTGCACAACCGCATTCTTACTATCGACAATATGGAGAGAAGAGGATGGTGCATTGTTAATAGGTGCAGTTTGTGTTGTGTTGTGGAGGAAAATGTCAATCCCCTCTTTGGTCAATGCCCATTCGTCAACAGGATTTGGATCCTTCTTCAACAAATGGTGGGGGAGATTGGACCTTTTTCTTCAGAGTTTTCTACTACTATTAGAGGATGGACTATTGGAGTCAAGAGGAATTGGAAGCGTTGGTTCGCCGAAGGGCTCCTGCACGCCTTCACTTGGGAGATTTGGATGGAGAGAAATGCAAGAGTTTTCCAAGATAAAAACCATCAGCAGCAGGTCATTTTTTACAAAATTTGCAGGTCCCTCCTCAGCAGGTTTTTAGTGGTGGGGGTCCTGAGTGAGAGTCAGATGCGTGAATGGCTGGCTATAATGTATCAGACCTGCCCTCCAATGATGTCCAACGACAATTTTCGCGCTCAAGAGGGCGATATGCAGACCTTGGTTTAAGCTTTGGTTGTGTGCGAGTTTCTCATATCCTACTGTTTGCCGATGTTTAAGCATTGGTTATCTGTTTTCTGTTTGTTTTCCTCTTGACAGTCTTCTTTTCTTTGTCTAGTTCTGTTTTTCTTCGTTTAGATATATTTTGTTTAGCTTGCAGAGGTGGTCTGGTCCGCCGAGCACGCTGTCATGTTCTTCCTTGATCAGACCTCCTGATCCGTGTTTGTGGTTCTTGTGTACTCCTCTTTTCACTTTTTTATTAATTTTAATCATCGCCATTATAAAAAAAAGAACTAATCCAATCGGATTGCTTCGGGCTATTTTGTTTGGAGTTTTTTTAAAAGAAATCACTTATATTGCAATTCGAAAGAACTCTATTACCAAAGGGGACATACACCATGAAACCCAGATAACCTGACTGACAAAAAGAACAAACTGTAATGAGTAAGTGCCCAAATGAAAGGAACACATCACAAACAGGACATACAAGGAACACATCACCTCAAAACAATAATAAACTGACAAATGAGTCCAAAACTCCAAAATAGCTAGAAACCGGGTTTGTAACAATCCATCCCCGATAAGACCAATCTTGCCCTCAAAATTAACCTTTGCTCTTCTCGACGTCCTTCTCTTCCTTAGTACCTCCCGTCTCAAACTCTTCTGCTTCATCCTCCTAGTTTCCCACTAGCAACATCATATGCCCCTTAGCACACTGGTGGCCCACCCTGTACCGCTCATCGGAGTTGAAACAACGTCCTTCCCTGCGCTTTTGCTCCATCTCTGCCGACGTCAATCTCACGAATCCCTTTAGCGGCAGCAAGTGAGCCGGAATTCGACCTCCAGGTGGAAATCATGTGCTCACCAGGGTTGCCATTCCCGGTGTCGGCGCAGGCACAACTTTGGAACTCGTGCCTCAACTCCTTCCTCCTCCCCGTCCTCCCGCCATTCGCGTCATGCGCTTGCGCCCAACAACTCGCAAAGAGTCAGGTTCAAAAACCTTGACCGCTGCTGCCAGCTCCAGTCGCAGCCCTGCCATGCACAATCCCACTAACGTCTCTTCCCCCATTTGCCTGCACTGATTACCCAGCTTCCAGAACTCCGACCGATACTCTGTAACCGTGCCTGTCTACTTTAACTTAGTCAACTGCTTTGGTGCCCACCCTTTGGCCTTGCCGAACTGGTACCTGAGCTACTCCTAAAACCTAGACCACGTGATTGTAGTCTCTGTTGAAGCATAAGACCGCTCCATCCATTCCCACCACTGCAGTGTGTCCCCTTCCAGATAAAAGGATGCCAGAGTGGCCTTGGGCTTTTCCCGTGTTGAGTGGTTTCGAAACCACCTCTAAGCCATATACAACCATCAAACTTAGGAAACTCAATAGGGATGGCAATCGACCTGTTTTGTCCGACATGTTTAGCCTGTTTTGGGGCGGGGCAAGAATGGGTACTTCTCGTCGACCCTACCTGCCCTGACCCATTCCATTATCTACACGTTCTTTTCTAAATTACATGTAATCTTAGTCAAATTACTTAGCATTTTCCTCTTATTACCTCGTATTTTAGCTATAATAAAGTTATAAATAAGTGAAAACCTCAATTTCCCCAATATTTAACTACATTTTTATCATATTGCGGTTTCTTTCTTGGTCATTTAATGAAAATAAGGAATATGTCTAATTTTTTTCACATAAATTACATACCCATTAGGTCGACCTGCCCCGACCCGCGCCCCATGATAAATTACCCGATATGGACCTGACCTGCCACGGGGCAGGTATGGGTACAAAGATACTCGCCCCAGACCTGCCTCATTGCCAAATCATCATTACCTTCATGCATGGGGTTATACCCTCCATACCTACTCATGCCATAGTGTGGGAATCCCCGACCGCCGCTACTGCCACCTCTCGAGTCGCCCAATGGAGGCTGCGGAAACGACCAGTCGTCGTCCCCCTCCATTCATCCGTCATGTCCTCCAGATTTGACCTCTAATCCTTGCCCCGCCTCCATGGTTCGCCCAATCCCACCCTGTATTATACCGAAAGTCATGAGAGGTGGGTATGGGGGTTCAGAACCACCTAGTGCCTCCTACAGCTCCCGATCATCCTCCACTACTGTTGCCCCCCGGAACCCGGTTTAGTTCAAATTGGTCTGAACCGGTTCCATTCGAGTATGGTAGGACCAGCCGAAGCCCGAACCACCAACCCA